ACCGGCACCGCTGCGGGGGTCCCAGGCCTGGCTGGGGGGCCCTCGGGGCCGTGGTGCGGTGGGACTGAAGTTTGATTGGAAAGTACTGTTATTATGGTGAGGAAGAAAGTTTCTATCTTTGATGTAGAGATACTGGTTTTCCTCTCTGAGCTGTTTTATACACTGACGCTGGTTTCTTACACAGATGATTGAAACACTTGTAACTACTGAAGCTCAGGAGCTGCTGTACCAGCTGACAGCCCTGTTGGAACAGGAGTTCAGGTGTCAGCCCAAGGCCTCTGGCCTGAGACTGATTGAATCTGCTCATGATAATGGCCTCCGAATGACTGCAAGGCTTCGGGACTTTGAAGTGAAAGATCTCCTCAGCTTAACTCAATTCTTTGGCTTTCATACAGAGACATTTTCACTAGCTGTGAATTTCTTGGATAGATTCTTGTCAAAAATGAAGGTAAGGCTTTTTAAAGTATAAGCTGTCAGTCCTCTGCTTTCTGCTCCCTGCAGCCTTGTCTCCCATTATAAGTTAGAACACCTTGGGTTTAGATGGCTAAAGGTTAAGCTCCTTCCATAGGTTCTGATTGCAGAAGAGCTAAAAAATTACTTTCCTTGCTTAGACTTTTGTATTACTAAGACATCCTCTGGAGAATAGAAGGAAGAGGGCATGGGTTACAACTTCAGGATGCCCAGAGGCAAGGAAATGCAGGCCATATTAATGCCTTAGATCAAGACAGACTGTCTTGCCTGTTGCACATATAAAAGAACACATAGAATTTCTTACTGACTTGTGTGTATCAGAAGGCTTCATGCTGTTCAGCACTTAGAAGCTGGTAAAACATTTAGTTAGCACTCCATTCTGCTGTGCCTATGTGGCATGCTGACCTGGGTTGTTTTTGATTGTCTAATGAGAGAGGATTACCACTGTACTATCTGGCCAAGAACAAAAGCTTGTTTTCATTGTGTGTTAAAACAAAAATGAGAAAGCTACATGGACAGGACAGGAAAATTATTATTTGAAAGACCTGAATCTGAAATAAGCAGTAAAAATGGGGACTGCTAAGCAGATGGAATGCAGCAAGTCTGTTTATATATACATGTATGTGTACGTGTATACTTATAGCAACAAATAATACAAACCCTAGGCTTTTCTGCATAGTCCGATACATACAACACTTTAAGTCCTAGAACCTTCTGATAAGTCTAATGTAGAACCTCATTAAGAAACCAGTTCTATCTCAATCAGAATTACTTTTGCAATCTTGCTTTTTAGATGAATGAGGCAGGGATTGTAGTGTATAACTGCATTCTCATTTCATCCAATAAAAGAAGTCAGTAGATAGAAGACTTAATTCTCAGGCTTCCAAAAACAGAACAATACTCCTCTACCCCCCAGAATTTTTTCCTAAAATACATTTGTGCATACATGGTTTGGTACTTACATGTTGAAATGGCTGATGAAAGGCCTGTATCTTTGAAAGTAACATGAATTTACTTTTTTTTTTTTTTTTAGATACAGCCTAAATACTTGGGCTGTGTTGGACTCAGCTGCTTCTACTTGGCTGTGAAGGCATCAGAAGAAGAGAGAAATGTTCCCTTAGCCACTGACTTAATTCGAATAAGCCAGTATAGGTTCACTGTTTCTGATATGATGAGAATGGAGAAAATTGTATTGGAGAAGCTGTGTTGGAAAGTCAAAGCTACAACAGCCTTCCAATTTCTGCAACTTTATCATTCACTCTTTCATGAGAATTTAAGCTGTGAAAGGTAAAAGATCTAATACTTATTTTGCTATGACTGCATGTTATCAGGAAGCCTGTGTAGATAAGTAAGCAGGGAAATTACTTGAGTAATTTGCCTTTCTATTCTTGAAGAAAAACCTGCACAAACTTTACTGCTTATTGGTAAACATAAATGTGAATATCTGTGGTTTAATATAATCTTGATTTTAAATGTTCACATAAATTGATGTAAAGAATATTGCCCTCTGAGCAGAAAGCCAAACGTGCTCAACAATGATGGTATAATAAATCTCTGCTTATGCTGCACTAAGCATTGAAAAAAATTCATGATCTGTTTCAGAATGAGATTCCTTTTGCTATTAAGCAGTAAAATTCCTTGTTGGCAAGTCTATTTTAGCAATGCATCTCTCCCCAGTGTGTAACACAAGATTTATTTTTAGCATTAGGACTGACAAAATTGAACACCTGTTTGATTGCAACCCTAGAACTTCTTGGACATATAAGGCCATTGTTTAGAAAATGGACATTCTGCTGCTTCCCTGAGTTCTCAGGGTGGTGCTGCCTTGATTAAGCCTGCATTCTTCATTCACTCATGTTTTTATTTTAGGAGAAAATACCTTAATTTTGAGAGACTTGAGACCCAGCTGAAGGCATGTCACTGTAGAATCATGTTTTCTAAAGCCAAGGTCAGTGTCTTGCACGCTCAAAGACAATGAGACTACTGAAGATTAATAAAGCAGTGTTTAAAAACATTTTCTCTCTCTCCAGCCTTCTGTCTTGGCACTGTCTATTTTGGCACTGGAGATGGAAGAACAAAAACTGCTGGAATTGACAGAAGCACTGGAATTTCTGCAGCTGCATTCCAAGGTATGTATAGATAAAGTTTCAGGGGAGAAAGGAAGAAAAATGCATGCAAGGGCCTACACAGTGGGGAAGGGGAAGGTCTACTGGAATACTGGCTTCTTTTGCAGCTTTGTTGTTTTTTTCCATTGGGCTTGGGATCTTTGGCTTCCTACCTTATGTGAAGAAGCTGAAATTACCTGTATGAAATAAGTATTTAATGAATTATTAACATGAGATTCTGTCTGGCTATTTAGATAAGCAGCAGAGATTTGACCTTCTGGAAAGAGCTGGTGTTGAAGTGCCTCACAGAATATTCCTCAAGCAAGTGTTCCAAACCAAACGTCCAGAAACTAAAATGGATTGTGTCTGGGCGGACAGCACGGCAGCTTAAACACAGCTACTACAGAATAACACATCTTCCTACAATTCCAGAGACCAGCTCATAATAGGTAACTCCTTGTAAAATCAACTTCTGATAACTACCTTGAAGTTTCTTACTCCATATAGGTAACCTCTCAAAGACCTGTAACATGAACATAGTAAACCTGCCCCAGAGGCTGGTCTGTTCTGGTGTTCATGCTTGAGTCAGTGCTGTACCTAAAGAATTGGCACCCTAATATATGACTGTTGGAAAGAGAACTGATCCTCTGGTGTGCTGTAGAAGCAGAAATGTGCACTACAGATATTGGGACGTCAAACTAAATTCTGGAGTAAAACTGGTTAAAAGGCAGAGAAAAAATTGGCTTGTTCTTATCCTAAAGGGATTTGGTGAAGAGGAAACAGTTGCCTACTGGAATGAGTTTCTTGTGATTGTTCACTTCAACCACTTGAAATGAAGACACTTATATTCAGTTTAAGTGTTTGATTAAGTCTAAAAATTGTAATGGAGTTATTCATATTACTGTTCCTTTACTCTATAGAAACAGTGAACTACTCCTTTATCTAAGCTTTAATTCCAAAGGTTACATATTTTCTGCAACAGCTGTCTTGCTATATTAAAGTTTGATGTTTTGCTAGGAGAAAAAATTGGCTTGTTCTTATCCTAAAGGGATTTGGTGAAGAGGAAACAGTTGCCTACTGGAATGAGTTTCTTGTGATTGTTCACTTCAACCACTTGAAATGAAGACACTTATATTCAGTTTAAGTGTTTGATTAAGTCTAAAAATTGTAATGGAGTTATTCATATTACTGTTCCTTTACTCTATAGAAACAGTGAACTACTCCTTTATCTAAGCTTTAATTCCAAAGGTTACATATTTTCTGCAACAGCTGTCTTGCTATATTAAAGTTTGATGTTTTGCTAGGCTTTTGTAGAAGGCCCTTCATTTTGTTTTTATTTTTACAGGAGTACCATAAAATGAGGAGAAAACCATGGTCTGACCTTGTCAAGAGACATAGGAATATTTGAGAAACTAAGCCTGAAACATGATCTTAATAATGAAGAACTCAACTCATGGAAAGAATATGTAACATTTCCGACTAAAGATGCTTCCAGCAAATGTTATTTTCATGATGATTACAACAATATTTAGTGTCAGTTTTCAGTCCTAGACTGTTTACTGTTCAGCGAAATACCACACTACTAATAGAAGAAATTTTAACACCTTATAGTTTGTAGAGCAGCTTTTGTAGTCTTAACCTTGGGTTAATATGACTGCAGGTTCACTTTCCAAAGATGACATGACATGAGGAAAACATGTGCAGTAGCACAGTGCTGTAGTGTCCCAGTAATACTAAAGATTAATCCTGCTCAATATTGATGACAAAAGCAAATGTCAGTCATTCCACCTGACACGCATTTGGGCAGTGTCATGTGTCTGCATTTTCCTGCTGGGCAGGGCACTGGCCTTCTACTGTAGACGCCCATTAAAAAGTAGGCTATGTGAAACCCCACTGAAAATGTCAAGGACCTAGAGCAGGAGAAAAGAGAAACCCTATTTCATTGCCTTGTAGTCACTAAGTCAGCATCAGTAACTTCAGTATTTTGTAAGAGCTGCAGTTTACTGAGCTTATTTCCTCAAGTGTAAAAATGGAATGATATATAAGGAAAGCTGCCCCAAATGTGATATCGGTTTTCCAAAGTTACACTGTACAAGAGGTAAATGCTGATGCTGCACAGATGCATTTTTACAGGTGCAGTAGGAGCAGGGCTAATGCCTTATCTTGGCCCTTGTGTGATCTAGTTAACAAACACTGAAGGTGATGGTAAGCTTAGCAAAATGCAACTGTTTTTTTCTGAAGACCAGATCGGTACTTGAGGCATCTCATGCTTCTGGTGTTAATAAGTAAGTGAATAATAAGAATGTATGATTGTATGTAAGGTGAATAGATGTTCTGGGGGGGAATGTTGCTAACAACCTCTTGAATTCTGTGTCCCTGTGGAACAGAGGCTGTTAGTGATAGACTTAATAATTGGTGGCCATATGAACTGACTTAGGGGAGATCAGAATGTTCTGACCACAGTGTGGGTTTAAATATTAGCCAACCAACTGTCCCCTTTATGGTAGCAGCTGAGGGGGAAATGATTCTTTGCATATCTCAAACTAGTTCAGCCTTTCAGAGACAACTTCATACCAAAGCAGTATACTGGAGAAATCAAGCCTCCCCATGAACTCATGGAAGTGACTGTACAGCATAATAAATAATGAGGTTTTGCATCTGCCAGTGCTGTCTGTGCATTGCCCTTGCCTTGGAAAAGCCTGCTAAGAGATAAGGACAAAAGTGTGGTCAGCCTACTGGGGGATATGGAGAAGATGCAACGTGCATTTTTAATGGTGGTGTCATCTTACTAAGATACGTACCTTTCAATTAAAGATTGAAATGTGCTTAACTGAGTAACTTTTCCCTGTTATGAATTATCTCACAAAAAGTCTATAAAGTGACTTATGTCTGAACAGCACTTGCAGGCGGGATCTATGAGATTACAGAGATTTTAATTTATTTTTAAGAGGTTTGGGCTCTACAGGAAAGCATAGAGAGCCAAAAGGAAAATCTCGATGCTTGATTAAAATTATTTTCAATGACTGAATCCTTTGATATGTGAAAGTGTCAAGATTGAAGACGGTTCAAATTTTACATAGTTCACAGTTGTCCTCTTCCCTTGACATTAGCATTGGACTTAGCTGTAGAGTGACTCTTATGTTACTTCATAAAGCTTAAAATGTGGGAATGACGTTGAGCTTTCAAAGTGTATATACTAAATATAAGCTCATGCACTGAAGTGTCAGATGCCATTCTAGACTGCTGCTGTAAGCAAAAGGTGTACAAAACTCCTGTAAAAATTGCTGTAACAGAAAATACTATTTTCGGTAGTACTTGATCATTTTGACTTAACAACTTTTTTATCTTCCCTCTGTCTTCACTTATTTTTGCAGTAGTCTCATTCTTTTCTTAACTATACCATCCACCTTCTATATGAGGATCATAGTCAAGATATAAAACTACCTAGACATAAATCAGCTTTTGCTATCATAGTATTTTCCTTTGTATAGTAAGACAAGTTCTCTAGAACTCAAGCAGTGTCATAGCTTACTTTATATTTTGTAAAGACGATATGGGTTAGCACACTTGATTATTTTGGGAGTACTTAATGCTTGCTTGCTCATGCAACAAGAAAGCATCACCTATAATTACAATGAAAACATTCTTCCTCAACTATTGCTTAATTTTTCCCATATGCCAGCAGAAATAATAATGCAATTTTAGAGGTAAGACTCAGCACTATGATCTCCAGTGAGACTTCTGCTTAGGACTTAGGCGTAGGTAGTACTTTGAGAGTTCAGAATGCAATTAAGATCTGGCAATCATGTTTTCTTCCTGTTAGTCTGTTTATACAGCATTCATCCTGTATAATCCTGTTGTTGGAGTGCTTCTCAGCTGAATTCTTTACATGGAATAGAAAATTCCTGATACGTGATTGGCACATGAAAATAGGATATCGTGAAATAGCAAAATCTAAAACGTGGCTATAAAATTTAAAACTATATACAAAAATCTGCAGCTTCTTAGATACACTATCAACAACTAGATGTAAGATACCATTTCATACTTATGGACTTCAAATCATACTATCTTAAAAAATTTAAAATATTTATACTGAAAGGTGATATTACATGAATATATACAATTATTTACATCCAGACTTTCACCTTTTCGCCTTTCAGTTTTCTAGCAGCGCTTACCTGGTTTTGCGTATTAATCATTAGTGCTTTACTTGACAGCACAGAGGATTCTGAACCTTGTTTGAGGCAAGATATGGTAGTTTCTTTATTTAAATCACTGTTTTAAAATGACATTAATGAGTTCCTATAGGGCTGCTACAGAGAGGGAAAATGTAACTGTAGCCATCCTAATACCCTTCCCATTGCAAGTTCAGAGAAAATATTAAATATCTTGCTCATATGATCCTTTCTTCAATGGTGAAGAAGATACTCTTGCATAAAGACAAGTGGTATATTCATAACTGAGCAGTTTACCATCATGTTTCTAAAAAAAACCCAACAAACCCAAACAACCCATAACAAACGTCCTGCTTAAACATGTTACTTTTTGGTGTACACCTTCCTCTAGTTTGTCCCTTAGTATTAGAAAATTACCACAACTTATAAATCAGCCAGTTAACACTTTGTCTTCATTCTACTGGAAGAAATCTTCTTAATTTTCACTGATGTAATTACTTGACTACAGTCTGTAGTAATTACTTGACTTTAGCTCACTGAAGTCTTCACCAGTTACATGATTCCAGTCTTTAAGCATAATGTGTAATTCCTCTCAAAGAACACAGATAAAAAGTTTACTTTTCAAGGCTAGAAAAGTCTGGTCCTCCTTTGCTGTAATTTCCAGAAATTTCTGCTCCACTGAAGTCAAATCCAGGGTTCTGATGGAGAGAAGATAAAAGTGAAGGAGACAGATTATTCTTAATTAAAACGTAATAAATAAATAAATAAATAAATTCAAAAAGCCCTCAACCAACGACCAAAAAGCCCCAAACTATTTCTGTTCATGTCCTGCCATTCTAACAAGGCCATAAAACAACCAACTCGCCATGGACTTGTCATGGAACTGAAATTCTTGGAAAATTCATCAACAAATAAACTTTGAACTGTTATAATTTGGTTGCTTGCTGCTGAAGGGACTTTGCAAAGCTGTTCTCAATTTGGCAAGCAGTTAGATCTCCCAGCAAAGAAATACTACTAAGTAAAGTTAAACAAAAATGTCTGGTTTCCCTTGGAATTACTCTTTCAACATAGAAGTACCTGCCATGCTGGATAACAAGTTTCATAAAAGTGATATTCTTTGCTGCAGGATGTAAAGTGCTGATTCAGCTGTTAAGTGACTAAGTTGTAATTGTACAGCTCTGCAGACATGCAGTTGTGTGCTAAAGGTGTACAAAAACAATTTCAGCAATTTTAGTAAAAGGGCAAGAAAAGTATTTCACAGCTAACTATTCTAGATCATTTGATGTTATAAACAAATATACTCAATAGAGCTTGATGTTAGAAGTTGGTTGCAAATATGGCTATGTCATAATTCTAGATAACAACAGAAACTGGGTAGCTGAAGTGAAATGTTACTGTCATGTAACAACACCCCTCAATTGATCTTAACTTTTCACAAAACCTTCAGAGAGACTAGAGGCAGAATAACCTCTTGAAAATACACTGATACAGCCTTGTGAGCATTCTATATATATTGTACTACTGGATATGTTTCCACAGCACTGAACAGCAGAACAGGTTTGCTCAGCTTTCATGGCCATAACTTCTGTGTGCAAAACAAAATATAAGGAGTAATTACGGTTCTTTAACTTGCCTCTCTTTGGAATCGCTCCAGCGTCAGTTTCCTTTGCATTTGGTCCTGTACCCAGGGATCAGCAGCATATTCATTTTCTAGCAGAGATGTCCAGCAATTTCCAGCATCTCTATTTGTCTTCATTAGAATAATCCTTATCAGCTTCCTGTCTTCTGTTGAATGAAAACAGATACATAAAATAACCATTAGACTCAGTCCTATGTGCTAGGCTTTGTTGTTTTGGTGAATTCATCATGAACAAGCACAGGGTTTTCATGGTAAAGTAATTTAAATTCTTAATGCCAATGCCAAGAGAGTTATATAGATAAATAAATGAACATTAACAAGAGACAGGCTGAAGCAAAGATAGACTACACAGCCAACTCTCCCCTTTCTTGCCTCTAAAATTCTGAAGGTGTTTCAAGGGATTAAAACACAATTCATAAATACTTCTACTGCAAACAAACTGACCTTTTAGACAAGTTCTCAACTGAAGATTTTATCCATTAATAGATCCACCTCAGCTAAGGCAATAATGAACAATTTTAGGTTAGGCTTTACAAAGCCCAATTCCCAATAAAGGGCCAAACTAAGTTTTATTGAGATATGGAGGAATAATCAAGGATTTAAACACTAACACTGAGCCTACAGACAACACATTGGAGGTACATTGCAAAGTTTACATATAGGATGTTTAGTTCTACTCAATTGTATAAATGTAGCATTATAAAGTGTATTTTTAAGATTATTTGCATACTTTGAAAAGAGCAGGCTTCATGATCTTTGTTAACACTCTTAGTTTTCATGCTTAAGTTACTAAATAATTAATATGTAGAATAAGTATTTAACACAACACAAAATCCATCACAGGAAAATACTGAGGCACAGTCTACAAACACGATTGCAAAACTCAAGATATTCTGGACATTTTGTAATTTTTATGGCGTAAGGATCCAATAAGCTTTTTCTGCTCATTATTTGTAGGTACCTTTGTGTGATTTTTAGATTGATTTTTTACTTTCTTGAACTGTAGGCTTTGTCACTCTTCCCAAAAATATAATGCCCAGAGCTTCTGAACTACCTCAGTTCCTTAGTCTGGTAATAATGACTGTCTTTTTTTACAAAGCCATGTACAGATAAGAAAGTAATCTTTCCCATTAAAAAAAAAAAGCATATTCTGAGCTGTTCTGTTCCCCTCATCATGTCATTTCAGAGGCAGGTTATTACCTAACGTCCACGTTCCTTCATCGGTTACTGTAGAGTCAAAAAGTTTACCCTGCAAAAGACATGTACAATATTAGGATACAGGAAAACGGGTTTAACATCCAGTTCATAAAGAAATGCTTATAACGTTTTCACTTCAGGCAGTGACCGAAGCTTCGCGCTTCACCCCCGCAAAATCACGGGAACGGCACAGAACCGCTTCTAACACATCTCACTTCTGGCTCATCAGAATCGCGGTATTTAAAGAGAAGGGGAAAGGGCAGCGCGGTGCTGCAGCCCCCCCGGCAGGCCGCGCCGCTCCCTGCAGGCCCGAGGCCGCGCGGCCGGTACCTGCAGCACCTCCCGGCCCCGCACCGAGAGCGCGATGTGCCGGCTCTGCAGGCTGCAGGACACGTCCTTGGCCCGGGTGCCCGGCGGCACCTGCACCTCGATGAACACCTCCTCCAGGGTCTG